TTGTATTGTATTTTAAATGCTGTAAGCCGCCCAGAGACCTTTCGGTAGTGTGGGCGGCATATAAATAAAATAAAATAAAATAAAATAAAATAAAATAAAATAAAATAAATAAATAGTCAGTTTAAAAAATAAAATAAAATAAAATAAATAAATAGTCTATGCAGTTTAAAATCTTCTCAGCGACTGTAGGTTACATTATATGTATGTGTGTCCTTGAGAGGAGGCTGGGGCAGAGAGTGAGGTATGATTGGCTGGACAGTCCAGTGAGGTATTTTTTTCTAAGCTGTCCCTTCTTCTACCTCACCGCACTGGCTAAGAGGGTGGGGTTTTCAAATTTAAATAAGGGTAACCAGAAGGGTGACCAGAAAATTCTCACATTCTCTGATTCTATTCTTGATCCTAAACTGGTAAAAAGGAGAGCCAATTAACAATGCATACACCTGGGGTGCAGGAAAGTTTTATGGGTCAGATCATACTTCCACAGTATTAGAGAGCAGGCTGGGTAGGTGGGGCTCGTCAGCCGTGGAAGGCAGCCCATCTAGGAGAAGGAGAACTCCAATTTCAAACCTCCACTGCCTTGTGGCTATATCCACTGATGGAAAAGGCTTCAGGAGTTAACCTCGAGGCAAAATCCGGAGCCGGAGTCCCAGAGGCAGTTCGTGTTGTTCTGTCAACTCCTGCAAAGTCACTGGAACCAGTTGTATTGGCTCTTGCCTTTCCATTGGACTATTTCAAAGACATGGAGAGGGGAGATTTGCTGCTTGGGTAACAGCCTATCCTCCATGCTATTTTACCCAGGCTTCGTGCTCTGGAGTACGCCTCAAATTGGGCAGTCCCCAGCTAGTAAGGTGCTACCTCGCCATTGTCTGTTAACCTCATGGGGTATATGGGGTTTAGGGTGAAAGACGCCAAGCAGATCGATAAGTCTGCACCATGCAACAATCGTAAGAAAACTTCTACCCTAAAGTTGGGCACCTGAAATGTTCGGACAATGACACCTGGCTTTTCTGACGATGGCTTTTCTGACGACCTTCAGGAAATAGATGACGTGCGCAAGACAGCAGTCACTGACATGGAACTGAGCAGACTGCAGATAGACGTTGCTGCCCTACAAGAGACAAGATTGCCAGACTCGGGATCTATCAAAGAAAAGAACTTCTCATTCTTCTGGCAGGGAAAACCATTGAATCAGACCAGGGAACATGGTGTTGGCTTTGCAGTCAGAAATACTCTGCTGAGATCCATTGTTCCACCTACTGTGGGGAGTGAAAGAATCCTGTCTCTGCAGCTCCACTCATCAGCGGGACCAGTCACCATCATTAGTGCATATGCACCAACACTGTCATCCACAACAGAAGTGAAAGACAAATTCTACAACGATCTGGCAGCTACTATCAAAAAAGTCCCTGAGAGAGAGCCATTATTCATTCTCAGAGACTTTAATGCTAGAGTTGGTGCTGGTCACAATTCTTGGCCCACTTGTCTAGGCTGTTTTGGCACTGGAAAGATGAATGAAAATGGGCAACGCTTGCTGGAGTTTTGCTGTTATTATGGTCTTTGTGTCAGCAACACATTCTTTAATATGAAGCTTCAACACAGAGTTTCCTGGAGACATCCAAGATCCAAGCATTGGCATCAGCTCGACTTGATCCTCACTAGATGCTCTAGCCTTCCTAGTATTACTATCACACGCAGTTACCAGAGTGCTGATTGTGATACTGATCACTCCCTGGTGTGTAGTAGAGTAAAACTGCGAACAAACAGATTGTACCAAGCGAAAAAGGAAGTAAGACCATATATTGATATCAGCAAGACTCATGACCAAAGAAAAGTGGAGGAATTTGACCAAGTGCTTGAGGAAACCCTTCCAGGGCCGGCTGATGGAAGTGCACCTGAACAATGGGAACATTTCAAGAACGCTGTTTAAGGGAGCCGTGGGGCGAGATGGAGCCACCAGCGGCGCAGCTCTCTATTTCTTTTTAGATTGGACTGGGCTCGAAGGAGGCGTCAACGCTGCAGCAGATACCATCGACTTCGAGCCTGAAAAGGAAGAAGATTTCCCTGGTCTCTTTGGCTGCGGTGGAGAGTGCCCAGAAGAAGCCTCAGATGGCGGGGCTCTCGGGGGTCCATGGCAGGCAGGTTGAGGGACTTTGACCAAAGGAAGGCGGCCAGTCTGTTTTGCCTGCATTTCAAGGCAGGCTTAGTAACGGCCTTGCAGTGAATGCAAGAGGCCAGCTGGTGCCCTTCCCCCAAGCAAAAGAGGCACTTTGAATGGCCTTCTTTAATCGTCACTTTGGCATTGCAGGCCATGCAATGTTTGAATGGAATTTCAGCGGCCATACACACCTTAATAACAGTTTTATTCTTAAGTCCAACTCACAATCCGAAGAATCAACAGTCCAGTCCATGGACAAATGATGGGAGGTCCAAAAATTTTTTTTAAAGGAAAGGTAAGCAAAACGCTAAGAGGTTCCAACCGATGCTACTACAGTGGCAGCAGGACACAGAATTGAGGCACAGAGTACCGGGGCGGTGATATAGCCTAGGTGGGAGGTCCCCGACACTTAGTGCTTAAAGCTACAAAGGTTTCCAAGGATGCTCTGCTCAGGTGCAAATTAACCCATTAGTGTGCATTCACAGAGACCACAAGAAACCAGCAACTTGATGGCACTTAACAAGAATAGGGGAAAAAATCTGATTCCAACATTCTTCCAAAACTCCGATATGTACAAGTGCCATGAATTGGGTTCCACAGGATGAAAATGTCTGATGTTCATATTACTATTTAATGGGATAGGAGTCTGGTACCTTTCAGCTAAAAAGGCATATATATGAGTGCATTCTCAACTGAACACCACAATTTTTTCTTGGCATTCAGACTGCCTTGTTTCCCAAGTAATGTATACCTAGAAACCTGTCAGAAATACAGTGGGGTCTCTACTTAAGAACGTCCCTACTTAAGAACAATCCAACTTAAGAACAGCTCCATTTGCTAAATTTTGCTTCTACTTGAGAACAGAAATCCAAGATAAGAACAGGAAAAAAACCTTTCCTGCTCTTTTTTTAACCTTAGGTCATCTTAGGTTAAAAAAAATTCTCCCCCTAGTGGTAGAGTATGTATTAACCAGCTTTGCATTAGCTCCTATGGGAACTAATGCTTCAATGTACAAACGCACCTCTACATAACAAAAAAACAGCCAGAACAGATTAATTGGTTTTCAGTCCATTCCTATGGGAAATTTTGCTTCAACTTAAGAACGTTTCAACTTAAGAACACCATTCCAAAACGGATTAAGTTCTTAAGTAGAGGTTTCACTGTAGTTTCTATGGACGGAAAAGAGCAGATACGGATTAAAAGGTTTTCAATGCATTCCTATGGGAAATGCAGATTCAACATAAGAACTTTTCAACTTGAGAACCACCTTCCAATACGGATTAAGTTCTTAAGTAGAGACCCCACTGTAGCCATGGCAATTGCTTTGTTTTTGCATGAGGTGTGGTTAACTAGGAAAAAAGGAGTCAAGTTTTGAGATGTTCCTTTGCATTGTGTCTGTTTATGAATAGTGGTGAGCACCAAGAGGCATTCCTGTAGACCATCTTGACTGCTAAGTTGGTGTCTTCAGTGTTCAGGCTGGTATTTGCTATGCAAACTTTGGAACCCTTTCCACTGCTGGCAACATGAGCATGATATTGCAAAGCAGTGTTGGACCATTGCCTGGTTTTTGAATTGTAGACCACAGAAGCAATATCCCATATTCATAAACCAGAGGAGTGTTTTTTTTAAAGGATTGAATATCCTTGCTTTTTAAAATGGAAGCTTAACACCACAAAATACACCCTCATTTATAGCGGAAGAGGGCTAGGCAGCAGTACTATATATACCTGGAAATAAGTCTCAGGTATTCAATAGAGCTTCTTTCACACAAGATTGCAGTACAAATATTTTTGACACATATTGTCAACTCAAGAAAACAATGCACCTGAAAACTGTGTCCACAAGTGATCCTACCTACCAGTGTACTCAGATGGATATCTGTTCCATGGCACTTATTTCTGTGGTAAGGCTGTACTCCTAAAATACCTTTATGGCGTTTGCCTAAGTCATGAATATTTATATGCTATTTGCATAGATCAAGGGGAGCGTTTGAGGGGCGGAGTCACAAGGTATAAAGCAGGAGGAAGAAGAGTTTAGACAGACATAGATAAGACATAGACAGGGTTTTGGGATGGAGAATTAGAGTGTTAGAGAGTTGAGAGAGTTTTGGAGTTTGGGCGGGAGAATGGTGGTTGAGGGTGGATAAAGAAGAATGTTTGTTTAAGAGTCAACAACATTGCTTATTCTGTCAACACCTGTATCAATAGATAATTTCTATTTGGTTTTTTTAATGACATATGCCCTGGACATCTACCATTAATTATAGGTCTTGTTGATTAAATCAACTGGTTCAGCTGAGGGGCACGTAGCGTGAGCTCTTTTGTTGCTAAAACAATCAGGGGCCACGTGGAATCATGACAACCCTCTTGTCCATAAATAAGCCTCATTAACTTCAAAGAGACTTTCTGATGTGTTCATAGGTAAAGAACTGCAAGCTAAGTTAATTCTTCAGAATAAACCCTGTTAAGCCAAATGGTAGTGATTTGAAGCCAATCATCTGAATCCTACCCCAATATGCTATCACCCATATTAGCTTTCCTTCATGCAGTATTAAGGTCATACATTATTTCAGACACAACAATGGGGCACAGTACATCTAGATTTAGAGAGAAGGCAAAAAGAATTATATGGATATGTGTTCCAAAGCCTTATGAGTTTAAACACTCTTTAGTATGTTTACTGTGTGTCTTTCTTAGCCAACGAATGCATACTGAGCCAAAGAATGCTTACTGGGGCTTTACTTGAACCTCTGGGAGGGAAGTCAAATCACCTGCATTAGGATGTCTGACAAAGACTTCTGCACACAGAATCTATGTTCATGTAAACATCAGTGTTGCATCCCAATTTTCCTGAATCATCATTTGATTTTAAATGTATAGACTCATGGAGCAGCAAATAATGCTGACTGTTCTCCAGGCCTCCTACCTAACTTACAAATTTCTTCACCATCACCTTATGTTTGCATACTAAAGACATTTCCGATTTAAAAATGAGAGCTCTAGCAGCAACTACCAAAGTCATGTTCTGCTGCTACCAATAGTCAACTAGGAATCTGTCCTCTGAAGAGAACAATTTAGAAGTCACAGCCATCCTACTCTATATACACCTGAAATCAGATCATGGGGCATTTCATACATGTGACTGATCACCTACCTGAATTAGCCATTATGATTTAATAAGTGTTACATACAGCACTGCTGGTACCTGTCTGTCATGGGTTTGGAGGGAAAGTTCCATCCTATGGGGAGTGGAAGGCGGGACATCAGGGGGGAGGTGCTGTACTGTATATATATTTGGAGCTTGTGTGAAGAGTGAGGAGTTGGAGTCTGTGTGTCAGACTGAGTACAACTGTGTGTCAGTTAGTTCCTACCTGATAGGTTCAGGTTTCGATCTGGGTAGCCAGAACTGATAGGTTCAGGGTCTGTGCTTTACTTTAAAGTGTTCTGTGTGAACCAAACTGTTGTATGTATGATTGAGACTAAGCCACGTTACAGTATCCTTACCTGAGCATTTTGTTTTCCCTGTTTGTTATTTAAATAAACCTTGTTCTTTTGTTTAGTAAAATCCATTCCTGGTCTGTGTGACTCCTTATAGGGAATGGTTGGTGGCAGCATAGTTAAAGTGTGGCATACTCCAGTAGGTCTGGGGTTGTCACAATAAGTACAAGCAGAAGTTTGATCAAAGCAAATGAAGATAAGCTAGGCATCCATACTTGAACAGTGGATTTCTTGAAGGCAAGCAATAAATACCTGAAGAACTTGTTAAACATGACAACTCCTTTGCATTTGGGTGAGAAGGGCTTAACTGATGAAAAAAGAAGTCCGTTTCTGAGATGTTCCTTTGCTTGGCATCTGCTTTTGAATGATAAGAAACACAATAGGGAGTCCAATAGACCAAGAGTACAGGAGGAGATCCTATAGAGCTTCTGGACTTCTGACACTGTCATCCTTAAACTTTCAGGCTGGTCTCTGCTACATAAATCTTGGTATATTTTCCCCTGCTGGGAATGTGTGAATAATACTGCAAGTCAGTAACAGACTGCTTTTAGCATTTTGAGTCATGGATTCAGAAGCAATATAAAGCAATCATAAATCAGAGGTGGGTTTGTTTGCTTTTTGGAAGGGTCTTTGAATGATGAATAAAAGCATTAGACTTGCTACTTACCTACTAACTGGAGTTCTAAGTCTCGACATAACTCTCTGTGAAAGTCTGCTTCACACCAAATCTTTCCATCAGGAGTACGAATCTTTGCTTCTGATGGATTAAAACCTAACAGTAATGCAGTTATATTTAGGAAACTTTACCACAAACTTGCTAATCCAAATGTTATCACTGCATTATATGCATAAAATCTGCTCTAGGCATCTGAAATGTGTTTCCTGAAGCAAAACCCAGATCGTAAAACTGTGCTATATAAAATAGATTAAAAGGGGATTCCTGTATATGAGAAAAATAATGTGGTGACACATATAGAAGAAAGTAGATGCACATGGAGCAAATACAGTAAATATTTACATACACAATTAACTGATGTCCACAGACGTGTTGCAATGCAAAAACTGTGGCCAAATTCCTGCAGTTCAAATTATGCTTGCAGGACTTTTAATCACTAAAAATCACTCCATGCCGGTGCTATTCAGCAAAAATAATTTCAACCTCTATTGACTAATTCCCATTCATATGCAGTCAGTAATTTCACATATTGTCTAAAGGCTCTATCAAAAATGTTTTTCAGATAATTTAGGAGTCTGCGAGAATTGTCAGCAATGGTATGAAACTGCTTCCCAAGATTGCAAATAATTGCTACAGACAGCTTGACACAAGCCTTAGATCAGGTGTGGCAAGATTAAGCTCTCCAGATATTACTGAACTGCAATTTTTATCTGGCCAAGTCAACACAGCCAACAGTGAGGAATGTAGGAAGTTGCATTCCCAACAAAATTTGTATACTTAGATTGCAAATTTATCCCTAATAATGCACAATGCAAACTCAGAAAGAATATACCTGCATGGATAGTAAATGCAAAGAAATTCAGTAAAAAAAATTAAAAAAAAACTTTTTAAAGAAGTATTTTGATCCCACACAGGATTCCAATGAATCTCAACTTTTCCTATAGAAACCTTTGCCTTGATTTCAGAATGAAAATAAGCATTCTCCTACATAAATACCGTGTTTCCCCGAAAATAAGACAGGGTCTTATATTAATTTTTGCTCCAAAAAACGCATTAAAGCTAATTTTCAGGGGATGTTTTATTTTTTCATTTACAGCAATTTACATTTATTCAAATTCAGTCATGTCATCTTCTTCTGGTTGCTGTGGAGGGTGGGGTTTCACTTAACTAGTGCTTATTCTTGGGGTAGGGCTTATATTACGAGCATCCTGAAAAATCGTATTAGGGCTTATTTTCAAGTTAGGTCTTATTTTTGGGAAAACAGGGTATTCGGCCCTGACAGGTTCAATAGCTAGCTCAAGGCTGACTCAGCCTTCCATACTTTCAAAGTCAGCAAAAGGAGTGCCCACCCAGCTCACAGGGGGGTGTTTGCATAAATATGTTTAGCACTATGGGATGGTATATAAAGCAAAACAACAACAACCACATTTCAATTCTGAAACTATGTACCTTTATAACAGGGAGCAGGAGGTGCACTTGTCACTTTCCTGACTTTAGGAGTTATTGTATTCTCAGGAGCTGCTGTAGTTATTGGATGATCAGCATATTCCAGATGATGCCCTCTGCCACCAAGTTCTTCTGGATGGTCCCATTGCTTTCTAATCCGTTCTTTCAATCTTTCCAGTTTAGCATCATGCTGATGCTGCTTTAACATATCTAGTCTGTGAGCACTGGAGGTAAATCCAGAAGAACAAGATTCTACTGACTGCAATTCTTTTAGTTCAAGATCCTGAGTCGTACTCAGAGATGTTTTTGTATGCTCATCTTCTTTGGATCCCTCAGTTTTTTCCTCGTCTGATTGGGTGGGAATTACTGCTTTAAAGAAAACACCTGAATTTTTCAAGGCATCAATTGCAGGACGGTCATTCAAATATCTGACAATAGTTTCATCTGAAGAACATGGGCTTTTGAAATCCCTGATCTGCAAGTCTGGTTCACATTTTTCATACGTCATATGAGTTATTTCTTCAGTCTTATTCCCTGCTCCTTTATGCTTCAGACATCTGGCCTCCATCTGGGAAGAGGTTTGGTAAGATGGGGCCCACTGAACGTGTCTAATAAAAATACATTAAAAATCAGAAACAGAGAGGAAGTGGTAATCAACTCTACATACCTTATACAGAAAAACATACACTGAGAGTCTTAGAGAGTAGCTATGATTGTGCAAACATATATATTTTAAATGGTTCTTTTGTTGCTCTTGTTGAATTTCTTTTAGCAAGCCTTCATCTTGAAGGTTAAAAGTTACTCTTTGAAGTGTAACATCCTTCAAAATATTTCCATTTTGGAGAAGAAAATACAAATTAGGGGCCTTAAAGGAACTGTGGAGTGGAGGGGGCCTCTCTACAGCTCTAAAGTTGAAATACAGAATAGGATGACTTTGAAGCTGCATGGCTTAAGCATAATAGAAAACCTTGGCCATGAAGAGACAAACCAGAAAGTATCACTTCACTGTTTTCTGTACCATAGAGATAAACAATGATAAAAACACCCTTGGTTGTTGCTTGTCAGTGGCACTCAAAGAAAAGCTGACATAGCAAGTGTTTCTACCATCAGCTGTAGCCAAAGTATTAGTCTGTATTTCTGAGGAAAAATACGTGGAATACCATGGCTCAAAATAGTTCTCTGCATTAATACAGCAGGGAAAATGAAAGCACATGGTGACCATAATTTTAGATAACACAGCCAATCAAAACTTGTAGACCCTTTTGACCTCTTGTTACACTGTACCACAAGACTGCTGAATTTTGAAAACAGGCAAATAGCTTCCTCCTCAAATAGCCCTGAATCTCAATCAACCACTGTAGTACAACTGCACATTGATGTTGAGTGAACTCTCTCCCATTGCACAATCCATGGAAGACCCTAGCAAGGGCAGTGATTATAGAATGGAGCTAGAGAATGGCTGGAACTCTACTACATATTTACACAGGTATAACTCCCTCAGTATAACTTCAGCAGCAAATTGTTGCAACATAAGAAGTCAGCACAGGCATTTGCTACCACACACCCAGTCATGCTCGCACTGTGTGACAGTAATCGTGTATGCCAATATCTTAACTTGTGGCAATTCACCATTGAAATTTATGCCAATTGAGTTATGTTGGTTAGCATAACTAATAGGACTCTGGCCAATGTGCATCACACTGTCCATTCCAAACCCCAAAATTCATTCCTGTTTCAAGAATACTTGAGGCACACAAAGACTGTACCTCTTATATTATGTGACCAATCAATACAACATTCATTAAAAATTACTGACAGGAGCGCCAGTCCACATGAAAACTTTTAAATTTTGAACTGGTTTTTGAATCAATTCATATGGCACAGTATATTTGGCACTGTGCTAGCAGACAGTATAGGTTTGTTCTGTGCCAAATGTGGAGAAGCTTGGGCAAGTACTTTAAAAGTTCTAATTTTTGTTTTCCATAATAATTTCCTTCCCCTGAATAACATGTTTTGGAGACACAAAGCCAATTGTCTAGCTAAAGTAGTTTACCAATGCCTGCTACTGTTTCCTGAAAAGAAAATGCATACTTTTACATCTTTTTCTTTACTTCAGATTAATCCATCCTGTTCTTCAGAAGATAAATGGCCTTTAAAAGTCTTATGTTATATAGGAAATCTTTCACAAATTCTGGCTACACTCCTTGTAGAAGTATTCTATAGCAGTTGATTCTCACAGAGGTGTGAATGGAGCTAACCTCTGAGCAAGAGAATAAGTTAAGACTGCAACTTTAACATAGGAATAAGGGAAAGAAAGAAAGAGGAACCATAGAGAGATGGAGAGACAAAAAGAAAGAGGGCCATGGAGAAAGGAGGGGAACCAGAGGGGGAAGGGGGGAGAAGTTGCAGGAGAGAAAGAGAGGAGCTATGAAAAAAAGACAGAAAGAAGTTAGCTACAGAAAGAGAGGCAGAGAAAAGAGCATGAGAGAGAGGCCATAGATACTGGACACAAAAGGATGAAGAGCCTGTAAGAACGGTGACAGTTCTACTAGTCTCCTTGTAGGTGTCTTTTCTACTCTTCTCACAGAAGTGGAGGGGTACAAAACAATCAGCTCCCCTATAGAGGCAGGAATGGGGAAAAGGGGGCTGGAATATGGAAGTGTTAGAAAGTTCTGGAAATGAGTCATCATATACACCTGACAGGTAGAGGTCTGGAAAGAGCCTGGGAGAGGAACAACTGCCAAATAAGGAGGAAAGTAAGAAGAGAGAAGGGATAAAAGGGATAGAGAAGGAGAAAGAAAGGGCATGGAGGAAGCAAAGGAAGAAGAGGGGGAAAGGGGGAAAGTGATACAGGAAGACGAGGAGAACATTGAAAACCGAAGGAGGAAGCCTTCAACTTGAGTTGCCATAAGGGTGGGAGTGCATAGTGAAGGAAGTCAAATGAGTTGGTGAGATTAAAAGTACTAAGAGAGGAAGCAAAATTCCAGAGGAGAAATCAACCCCCTCACAAAACCTATTATTGGTCAAGAGAGAGACGTGGGCAAAAAGAAGGCTAGAGCGAGAAAGAGTGGTTAAGATGTCTGGAAAAAACAGTGCAACAGGGAAAGCCACTGTAAAGATGAGAACCAAAGGAAGAAGGAGGAGAGATAAGTTTGGGGGAGTATGCATGCAGCACCTTCCAGACCTGTCTACAGACCAGGAGAAGAATACGGACATCCCCACCTATAGAAGACACTTGGGAAGAGGTTCAGAAGGACAGTTTGTTTAAGAGGCCTGGCAAGTTTCCAGTTATGTTCAGTAAAGATATGCTGAAGAGGCTGAAATTGACCAATTCTATGAAGAACTACAACGCCTTCTAGAACTGACACCAAAGAAAGATGTTCTCCTCACTACAGGGGACTAGAATACTAAAGTAGGGAGTCGAGAGATAAAAGAAACAACAGGAAAGTTTGGCCTTGGAGTTCAAAACGAAGCAGGGCAAAGGCTAATAGAGTTTTCTCAAGAGAACAAGCTGGTCATCACAAACACTCTTTTCCAACAACACAAGAAGCATGGACATCTACACATGGACATCACCAGATGGGCAATACAAAAATCAGATTGATTATACATTCTCTGCAGACAAAGATGGAGAAGCTCTACAAAGTCACCAAAAACAAGACCCGAAGCTGATTGTGGCTATGATCATCAGCTTCTTATAGCAAAATTTATGCTTAAACTGAAGAAAGTAGGAAAAACACTGGGCTAGTCAGGTTCATATTCAAGATCTCATTTGCATGAGCCTATGAGGAATGGAGGGGCAGAGTCAGCGGATGTGACAGACAGGTCAGTAACCACTCCTGTCCATCACAATGGAACCCTGATTTAACAACCAATGTGTGAACAGAAGAGGTGGAACTAAGAAAATATAGGAAGAATGGAAGACAGTTAAAGATCAGTTAGGGATGAGTCAGGGATATGAGTTAGAGTTAGGGATTTCAGTTAAGGATATTAGTTAGAGAGAAGCAGTTTAGGCAGTTAGGACCAGTCTTGTGTTAGACAAGAATAGAGAGATAGATAACAAGATAAGAAATGAATTGATTAACATGATTATACATAAGCAAATATAAATGTTATGAAAGCACAGTTTATTGAATGAATAAAATAAGACCATCCATGATTTACTTTCTATGATTTACTTATAAACACTTAAATAAACATTGTTTTATGGAATAACACTGATTTAAGAGTCATATTTGATAGAGTGAGGAATAAGTCCTCTGGTGGCAGCGAAAAGGGTTGAAAAGTAAATGTCATACCCAAAAGTGAACCTGGGTTGTGTGGAAGAACAAACGGGAACTGGGGGTGTGTGACATTTATTTATTTTATTTATTTATTTATTTAATTTATATGCCGCCCACTCTACCCAGAGGTCTCTGGGCGGTGAGCAGCGGTTGGGATTCGAATGAAATCCAGTGAGCCAAAATAAAGTGAAATTTATTAGGCTAGATACGAATGAAAAAGAAATTAAATGAATCAAAAATAAAGAGAAGTTTTCTGAGTCTGGGATTCAAAGGGAAGGAATACCAGAAAGCCTAAAATACAAGAAAATCTCTGAGTCTAAGAGACCTGGTTGTCAATAGTCCAAGTGAAGGAGTAGAAAAACCTAAAGCTTGGTGTGAATAGCTTGATAGGGACTCCTGATTGTAGAAAGACAAAGGCAGGAAAAGACTCTGAGGAGATTTCTGTAGTTAAAAGTTTACCTCAAGCTGAGAGTGTAAGGACCTAGAGGGCTAGCTTTAGATCCCAAAGCTCAGAGAAAAGGAGCACTGAGGGGACCAAAAGTGGAAGCCAAGGTCTAAAGGAACAGCTGAGGTGAAGATAACTGAGGCTTACAAAAGAAAATTAAAAAATATTGCTTGAAATAGCTGGGTGTCTGGAGGCCAAAAGAGATACAAAGTAACAGACACAAGGAACAGCAAAGCTTGAAGTCCAAGGATACAACATAGAGATCTTGAGCTGCTAAAAGAAAGCTACATAGTTGAAATCTCTCTAACACAGTGAAAAAAAGGGGTCCTTTTAAATTGAGGCTTGTATATTGCAATTGGTGAGAAAGCAGCCTACCAATTTAATAAAAATATAAACGATTAAGTATGCCTTCCAAGAGAGGAAAGAAGGCAGTTATGGAACTTGATGAGAGTCAGATATTATCTCAGGAAGGGGAAATTTCAGACCAAGAGAATCAGGAATATGAGGGTCCAAGGGAACAGGAGGATAGCTCAGGGAGAGGAACTGATGTAACCTGCCTGGAGTTTCGAAAATGGAAATTTGAAAAAGAACAGGAATTTCGGTTAAGAAGATTACAGCTGAAAATGAGAGAAAAGGCAGAAGCCAGAGAAAGGGAGATAGCCATGGAACAAGAAAAAAGACAGCTGGAGGCCAGAGAAAGGGCTCAAACCAGACAAGCTGAGGCAAAGGCCAGAGAAAGGGCTGAAGCCAGACGGAAATGAGGGAAAAAGATAACTAGAGATGAAAAAACTAGAAATGGCATCTCTAAACAGTAATAACAGTAATAGTACAAATGAAGGGGTCTCAAGAGTAGACCTTAAGAAATTCCCTCAATTTAAAA